CATGTCGACATGTCTGGTTTCAACGAGCCATCCTTCCTCATCCTTCCAAGACATTCTCCACACCCAATCTTAAGGTACTGTAGGATCAAGACTCTTGATTATCGAGCCCCCCCTTTGAAGATGCTTTTCAATTCAAATGGGAGGGTGTATTAATCAAGAGTCTACATTAGGGATGGTTTCAAAAAAATATTTCCGCCCACCCCCTGAAATTCGGCCATTTTAAGGTCCAGTCACCTCAGAATCACCTCCAGGCACCCATCCCTTGACCAGGCCACTACAGGATGCAGGCTGAGGAATCCCGTCACCCCTTGAACCTGTCGCCCCTCATTGAAATGAATTGCTTTATAAAATCGTTTGGTAGGGATCTTAAGGGAACACCTGTTAACCTTAAGCATTCTTGTCACCCTTCTTTTCATCCAAAACGAGGCCGGAAGCTCCCATGGCCAGCTTTCTCTTCGCTCTTCGTCGCTCTTCCACTGCCTCTGGTTCCGCCGGTCTCCCGGGTCGCGGTCCATGGACATCACCGGGAGCGCCAAACACCTGAGAAACGACCCGACCTGATCGCTAACTACACGTGGATACACACCCTATACCCAAACACTCCATGGGACTGGCATAGGACTGCCGATCAGTTGGGGTGGTGCCAAGGGGGTCAATGTAGGCATATATTGGCAGTCCCATGGAGTGTCTGGGTATAGGGATCCAAGTAGTACCTTCCAACAAAGAAGGTACGAAGACAGACTCTCCAAACGCACATCACAGTGTTTTTCACACATCACCTTCTCAAGACGGGTATGTAGATCCCTAGAGACACATTTAGTGTCACAGGCATGGCCCTGTGAAAAAAACTGTACTGAGCTATGGGGCAAAGCCGGGCAGTCAGTCTTTAGAAATCCTTCGATGATGGATTGAATACCTGCAACTCCTATGCCATCAGCTTCTGAAGAACTTGGGACACATCCTGATTCCAGGATCTTTGGTGATCTGTTTCGATATATATAGTTTCGCACCAATTAAGATTCCGAGAAGAAAGGAGGGCACAAAAAATGCCATATAATAGCTTTGGGTAGATCCCATGCCCAGTATCAGCGGGGGTGGGGTGCAGGACATCTCAGTGATCACTATTAGTGATCCTCTTAGTACCAACAGTACCGATCTCAACTGGAAAATACATGTCCCACAAACAAACAACAAATTAATACCAACTACCAACTGTAATTACTGGCTTACAGGAAGACCATACTTGCAAACCTCCAGGTGGGCGAAACCGACCGCCCACGCATGCTCCCTGTCGGGATGACTTCATGGGACCCTGTCGGGCTGTCCAATGAACTACCCCACACTACCTATAGGGGGTCCTATAGGGGCATCCCTTGGAGGGTCCTGGTAGGATCATATTACTTGGAGAACATGAGTTGTATATCTCAAAACAAACGATACCATGTTGAAGACAACATGGATCAACATGTCGCACGCAAGACCTGATGTCTTCGTCGGAAATCCACCATCCCAGCTGGTGGATTTCCATGTCCTCGTCCAACATCTGACAGATGCTCTGGCCCTTTGAGGCGCCAACGGGCTATGGCCTGATTGGGCGAGGACAAAGATCGAGTTCGGGTTTGGGCCTGGCAAAAGGGGTGCCTGGTGAGGATGGGGATAGGATATACACTGAGGTCACCTGATTGCTTTGAGTATCTTCGAGTAATTTTTACAAGGGGTGCCCTGAGGGTTGGTCATTCATGAGTCATTGTGCCGGAAGCCAAGCACGCCTCTTTCCAATCACCAGTTACGGTAGCAGAGTGAATGGTCGACTAATACACCGCTTTGGTTGACCATCATGTGTATCCCAAATTCATGCTCAACCATGGAAATGTTCTTTGTTCCTGTACACTCTGTCTATGTCTGTCAACAAATCCCCAAACACCCCAGCTGCTTTTCCTTGAGTGTTCTATTGTCCACCGGTCGTTTCTCCGGATCCCCACAAGTGAGTCGACTCACCATGACTCACCCGGTCGCATCTTGGTCGCCCATGTCACCTTTTCGAGACCGAACGTGTCGCGCGGCGTTCCGACCCCGTGGAAGGCTCGGGTCTGACCAGTCGATAAACGGGGCCAGGGGCACATGCCCCGACTTCAAACACACCCCCCTATTCAGCCGACACAATGGCGAAGCGACCTACACTGAACCCGCCCAGCTCCCTCGCGCATCGATCACAAAACAAACAAACGTCCTCCGAGCGACGCATGTACTCGCTCTGCTGGTCGGCTTTGGTGTTCCAATGCCGCAAGACTTCCAACCTAACCCAAACACATTTGATGGAATAGCTTTCTGTTGAACTAAATGAAGCTTGACATTGGACATCAATAGCCAAGAATAGCTAAGAATAGCTACATCCTTGGCATTGGTTGCTAGCTCGCTTCTCTTTCTCGGCATCCAGTCCTCCAGTCCCGGGAGAGTGCTCATGCACCGGTGTGCTCATGCGACGGAAGATGGATGGAAGAGTGGACCCGGATGCTACCGTAGCATGGATGGGTCATAAAGGGCTCCTATAGAGGATAAAGGTATCAATTAAAATGTTATATATATATATATTAACTATATAATGCATGTTAACTATTCCAGTCTCATGGAGCGTCTGGATGTTGGGATTCTTGGTAAGTTGGAAGTGCTCAAGGATTTCTGAGCTTGACACCAAATGCCTTACGTAAATCCAGAGAAGAAAAGGACAACGGAACCAACGAAGAGTTCACCAATCACTCCCTGGAGGCCTGGAAGGACTAAGTCCATCAAGCTGTTTGGGCTGTATTTTGACATAGTTCAAATAAAAGAAGAACATAGAATTAATACAACTTCATAAGACTTAATGTAAATGAGTCGATCATAATGAGAGTGTCAGTTGTCTCAAATAGCGAATGCAAGGATGTCTTTTTATAAGACAGCTTCTTCAAAGGAAAGCGTCTTGAACCTCGCTTCTCAATCCAAAAAGGGCATGTTCTGCTTTGGTCCATCCCATTTGAGGGCTCACTCCACAGCCTCGTTGGAATCTCATCCGTTTTCGGGCAAATCACCCAAGGGATCATCCTTTGGGCTTCTCACCCGGGTGGACTTGAGGGTATGAGAAACAAACAGATCGCCCTCCCAAACAGCTCGGAACTGGAATCGACCGATTTTCGACCAAGCAATTCATCACCCCCGGACCCCGAACGGACCGTTTGTACGACCCGATGTTTTTTCCAAAACAGGTATACCCTATACGACTGTACACGCTCTTGTATACCAAATGAATCCCGAGCTACTTCCAGTACACCCTGGAAAATTAACATGGAACCTGAAAACACTGGGTTGTAGAGGAAAATAATCTTCCAAAGGTCCACCTTCAGGTTCCATGTGGGTCTCTTCCCGGGTGTATCTCCGGACGCGCATCTCTGCTACCATCCCATGGTCGGGGTCAGCGCGGAGGTCTGGGGAGGTCGACGGGGCGATTGGCACTGAGAGAGCCACCAAAAGAAATCCAACTGAAAGCCGTGTTGTCTTTTTGTGGAACTCGAAGAAAAACGGGGAGCCGTCTTTATGGAGGATCCGCCTGCGGATCCAACGTTTTACATGGGATCTCTGATCTCTGAGTTCACCAAGCAAAAAAACATGTACATCGGACAACTTGATCACCCAAATGATGAACATGGTAGCAGTTCCAAAATCATCTGTGTTCATCGCTTTTCCGTGGTTTGGCCATTTTGTGCATTTTGCCGATGATATAATATATAAGCAGGGCTCCGGGGTCTCAAAAGCCTATCTGTTTGAGGGCCCGGATTCATACAGAGTTTAATACAATCATCCACCGACCGCTCGTGATGAAACTGCGCTTTCGGGCTTTCCAGTCCGTGGGCTGTTCAATTCGGGCCCAACTGGGTCGGGGTGGAGAACGACAGCGGGTCGAATCCAGAATCCGGCAAACGCCCCCCTCCTTTCGGGTGATTTTGTCTTCTGATGTTCTAAGGGTCAATGGAGGCAAATATTGAACCACCCTGGCATGGATGGTCTGAGAACGAACACAATTTTTCTCGTGAAGGACACGTCAATTTGCTTTCACACTTCTGCATGTAGCTTGAATCACTGATGCTTTTCACGGAAACAAATCGAAAGCTTGATACGGTCAATCCTGTAGCTTGATACAATGGTCCATCGATCGGTCTAGTGGTCCAAAGGTCTTCCATGTTGGACTTTCATCACCTTACTGAGCCCATGGACGGTCCAGGTATGGACCTTCACCGAGTCACAACCGAGACACCCGGCGGCTGATTCGGGCAGCGAACCGTCCTCCGGACGAAAGGAAGTGTTGGATGGTTTTTGAGAAGGATCAAAGCAAGACCTTAGTTTTTGGAGGGTCAACGTGTTACAAGTCATGCAAGTTGGACTTGCATCATTTGGTGCTTCCCTTGGTGTGTTTTCTTTGGATGGACTTTGAAGCACGGGTCGATGTGCAATTGATAGGTTTTAAATGTTTTTTAGTCCATGCTTCACGCGGTTGATCGACAGCATAAACTGATCAGATCATTTGGAAGTCCTGGGTGGTCCTGGTAGGAAGAGTAGGCTATTGTTCCTTTGTAGGTCCCATATGTTCAAGCCCAGCAAATATTGCTCTGCAGGAGCCACCACGGGGACTTTCCTCTGACAGGGGACTGAGCGGCCATCGTGTCACACTGTGGCTGGTCACAGTGTGAACCAGCCAGAGGCATGTGACCCAGAGGGACCAGCGGCCAAAGTATATAGTATATTATATCTATACCCTGCAAGTCAACGACTATACAAAGAATGGTCTTTATGGGATCTGAAAGGGAATTTCCTTTACTTCACTCAGGGAAAGTATAGTCTTTGGACTTCCAGGGTATATATATATTTATTAATTTATAGATGGCACAATCTTCAAAAGGTATGTGGACCATTATGATGGACGACATGTAGGGCTTTGTGTCATCTACCCTGAAGACACTGTAACTATTTTGAAGCAACCGTCACAGGATGTCACAGGTACTGTACATCTGTCGTCATCTGTCTACCTTTGTCTTCTGAATGCAAGGCCACAAAAGCCTCGTCATTGCTCCGGCAGCTCATGATCTCCATTCTCATTGTCTGAACTCCAGAATCTTCTCTCTTGCCTATCAAAGAAATCCGGGTCGAACTTGTGACGTCTCCGACTGCGGGGACCCATCTCACAAAGTAGGGCCGCACGTCGATAGTAGAACATGCGAAAACACGCTTGATTGCCTGAGAGCGTCTTTGAAACTGAGTCCCACTTAGACTCTTGAAGCAAATGCTTCTTAAAATATCTCCGGGACACTGCCCAAGTGACGCCGCGGAAAGGCCAAACGGTGCGAGGAAGGCCAAAATCATTTTCCACATTGGTGTCCGTCAAGAAGGACACCTCATCTCTGCTCAAAACCTCCGCCCCGGCTAAGGCTTGCAGTTCGGAAGGGACCGGCATTGGCTGCCGCTGCCAATCATATGGACAAGAGTCCTCGGTCATGTCCTGGCCGATTCGAGCTCTGGAAAGCTGCCAGTTGTCTCGCTCCTCATACCGACGATACCGTTTCTTCGTTTCACAACTCACTACACACTCCACCAAGCGGCAGGGCACTCCTCGTGCCACCAAGGCCTTGTATAGAGCCCAGTCCCGTCCTCTCAAATGATGAGGCCGTAGCACGCCAGAGCTGTCAAAACTGTAAGTGTTGTGGAAGGGAAAACCAAGTGTGCGTCCTCGAAGCTCTCTGGCCAACTGCGTCTGGCATACACTCAGCCAAAGCTGCAGAATCTCGGAGGGTCCACGCAAGAGGGCCTTCAGAGCTACGCATGAGCAGCTGCAATGATATATGCCATGCATGCCACTTGTGATGGTCACCAACTTGAGGATGTGCTGTGGCAACGACAGCATTGATCTCTGAGGCTTCTTCGTAGCACCCATCACCTTATACTCTTCCTGTGGGTCTGGATGCCCAAAAATGTTGAAGGTCACCATCACACGATGCCCCGCAGTAACCTTCTCAACCGAGTGAAAATCCGAGGTGAAGAAAGAACACCAAGATCCTGCACACTCCGACCTCCACGTTCGCTCCGTTTTCTCCTCCACCTCCGTGGTCTCCTCCGTGGCCTCTTGGGACCGATCCGCGGCCTCCACACAGCCACGCTCCGGAAAGCTCAGCTGCCCGCCATCACAAGGTCCTGCTCCGCAGTCGACCACCAGCGTCATGATGTGGTCATCCGAAATCTTGCTATCTACGTGGGCCTGGAAGAAATCTCCTAGCTCATACAGCAAGACCTTGTAGACTTTGGCAGTGAGACTCACGTCAGGGCAAAGTGTTGCACGGGCCTGTGACAGAACAAACCCCAAGTCATCCCAAAGAATATCGACATCTTGAGTCTCCTTGCTACGCCGGACCTCTAGATCAAGGACCGTCTCTGTACCTCGACCGCATGGTGCCTGCTTGCACAAAGCTCGCAAGTCAGCCAAGTCCTCGGGCAATGCTAAAGGAACACCTCCCTTCGTGTAAAGGCACGGGGCGTTTTTCGCAATCCCACTGGCAAACAAAGGGTTGGGCAAGGCCTCAAGGATCGAGGTGAATCGATCCATGATCGATGTTCCCACGTCCTCATCATCCGAATCGGTGGCATAGGGCAGAACATCGATGGTTGATGCCGCTGAATCATCATCTGAATGCAGTTGCCCATCCATTTCGCTCGTGCGCGAGCCAAGGATGTTTCCGATCCAGCCAGCAATAGACCAGCAAAAGGATGCAAAAGGAGATTGGAGGAAGTCGGGGTTCCCATGATCCACTCACTTAGGGACTAAACACCACCCGACCATGTGACTCCTATAATATCATCACTGCTTGTGCACTCATGCATGATTTCGTTTCCTAAGGTCGCACTCACATGATGTACATGCATGATGCACTGCACGGCACGCGTCTTCCTTGGCTGTTCTTGAGATGCGATGCCTGCGATGCATGGGAGGTTTTCTTTGAATCGAGTGACACCGGTGACACGGGTGCCACATCCGGTCCAAACCTTCACGTCCCGACCCACCGTTCAGATCAGGTGAAAAACCGATCAGGTGAAAACGCCAGGTTGTAATGAATCTCTCGAAATCCCCCACAACCAAGGAACACCTCATCACTCCTCATCAACCCACACCTCATCACTCCTCATCAACCCCCCCCAAAAAAAAACAAAACACATTGGTGCCGGCCCGTCACCTCACCACGCGAATCACGGCGTTTTCTCGCCCATCTCCTCCATGCTTCGCCCGCCCGGCACCACGTGGTCGGGAAGACCTGGAGGATCGGGGGTGCCCAACTGGGTGCCCATCCACTCACTGGATGCGACTCAAAACCACCCCGTCGAAAACGTGACTCCTGGCTGGTTCTTCAGGACTCGTGACCGAAGATGATATCCCCAGTTGCTTCGATCACGAATTCAAAGGGCCCTGCTTCGGTCACGAATGTCGGATGGCACTCTGAATCGGTCACAAACTGAAGAAGCTGGTCCATGTATGGAAATATGACACATTGACCGTGACCCCTTTTCGACCACCCCGACTTTTTTTGACAGTGCCACCCCGATGTGTCTGGGTATATAGAATGGTACTGTACCAGAGTCACAAAGGGGCGTGGTTATTAGTCCCTAAGTGAGTGGATCATGGGCGCTCCTATCCTCCAATAGGATCCTGGCTCAGCATCCTTTTGTGACGGCTCGGAGACTCAAAGGCCCCTGAAATTCGAGCTGTTCCTGCCAAACCCTTCTTCACACAGTGAAGTCGGGCTCAGTCGGATGTTGCGTTTCTTTCTTAAGTGTGTGACGCTCTGATCAGTTGGGCTGAGAGCGTCACGATCTGCAAGGGCATCTGCCTGTTTGGCTGAAGGCTGTTAAAGGGTTCGAGAGTCTTTACTTGGAGGCAAACATACCCTCTCCCAACCAGAAGGGCTCCGGCCAACAAAGACCTTAGAGTTCGGGGGTGGAAAACAAAGACCTTGGAATGAATGCTGTTCCGCTAGCTGTATGGACTCCCAGTTATGGAGTAGTCCAATACCACGCAGAGTCCAATACCACGCATACCCAAACACTCCATGGGACTGGCATCTTTACATACATTGACCCCTAAAACCACCCCGTATACGGCAGTCCTATGCCAGTCCCATTAGTCGTGTTTGGGATAGTGACCAGTGTCAGGCGGGTATGAACACGGGTTTTGGGCGTCATGCGAAGGGCCCGGTCAGAAGGGCTTCGAACCGCTTTGCATCGACGGTGATACTCCGACGCGTCCGGTTGGATGACTGTCAGGACGGGAAAGAAAGGTGGTCATTCACGGCCAAGAATTTTGTGGCAAAGCTGAGAAGGTGTTTTGTAATGGATTCAGTGGGCAACAGCAAGTTCCTTTGCGATGATTTGGATCCTAGAATGTTCAGGCTGGGAACTGTCACTCTCCTGCAATGGACCAAGCAACAAAAGGCATTTTAGAAGACATGGATCCTGTACAGTGGTCTCCAAATAAATAGAATGATAGTCAAATTGGTCCAATGTCCAATACAGTCCTATACATTATAATCAAATAGAACCTGATAGAAAGGGTTGTCCAATTCATACAATCCAATCCATGACTCCGCTGAAAACGAACATGGACCCTGAAAACCACGTTGAAAAAGGAAAACAGTTCAGGGTGCCATTCGACCCGAGGCCATGTTAGTTTGAAGTGTATCAGTTGGAATTGTCGTCCTACCTGCTTGGAGGCTCCGGCGCGGCCTCACCGTCGATTCATCGGACGCTGTCTGAGACCGTTCAAGGCTTTCAGGCGAAGATGTTCGCACTCCAGGACACAGATCATCCCAGAGATGTGTTTTTTTCCAACCGAAACTCTTGGGGCTCGAGGTGCCAGCTTGGCCAACCAATGAGATTTCGGTGGTTCTCCATCTGTCTGGCTGTGGGTCATGGCACCTGCCTGGTGGACACCGAAACCGATTGACCTCCCTGGTTTGTCGTTTCGGTTATCACTCATTGGATGATTCACCGGGCAGGGCCTCCAGGTTTGGACCCACCACGCACCGAACGGTCTCTCCGCGGGGGGCAGGGGGGTGCTCCGTCGCGGAATCCGCTCCGAAGGTTACTAAGTTACTCCGCTCTGAGAAGCGCACCCTCCCCAAGCTTGCAAAGGGTAGGCCTAGGGACTCGGAGGGTGCAAGACAGGTGTGGAGTGAGATAAAAATAGGGAGACGTCCCATTCAACGACCTCCTGGAAGAAGGAAAACAGATCAAGACATATATCGAAACTAATATCCATTGGTTGGGAGGTCCATGTGGAGAGATGCATGGCTGTAAAATAGGGAGAGGGAAGTCGAAACACAACATGTTCCTGTTGGGAAGTCCAGTGTGTTCCTTATTGAAATACACACCCATGTCTTGGTGTGTATGTGGTTTGGGATCTCATGACTTCATGCGATGGACACCCCTCCTACCTCTCCAGGAAGGTCAAACATCTCCCATGTCGCCAGGGGAAGAACCTATTCATTGTTCATCGATATGTTATATTACTACCCCTCTGTGGGACTGGAAGATCTGGAACATATTATGACCAACATACCAAGAAATAATATACCCAAACACTCCATGTATGCCATATATGATCATAACATTGACCCCCAAAACCACCCACATGTAGGCATACATGGAGCGTCTGGGATATGTCTATCACACACACATACCATCCTGAAACCCAAAATCACTCCCCAAGAGAACGAGGCATGGGTCGCACACGCGCGCGACTGGGTTGTGCCAGTCCCATGGGTCAGACACCTGCCCTTCGGGGCAAACAAGATGTCAAACATCGCGCGACTGGTTGGAGTCGACCACCCCGGTCTTTCTCCAGTGCGGATGAGCACAGGGGATTCGAACCGAACCAAGCTCGAGTGCATCCGAACCGCGGTCGAAGTGCGTAGGTCGAAGTGCGTAAGTCGTCCGGTCCGGACAGGTCTCCGCGTGAGACGAAGCGAGGTGTCAACGGTCTGTTGAGAAGCCTCGCCGCCCCACACGATGATTCGATGCAGTCGGGACCAGTTTTGGGGAAGAAATGACTGGAACATACTGGAACGCTCTATATATATATATATACAGGTGCCACCCATCTACAGGGGAATTCAATCACCTGAAAACGATCTAAAACGATCTATCACTCCCTATATATATAGTCACCTTTCAGATCGTTAATGTCATTGTCTCTGAACATGAACAGCACAAATCCAGCGAATCCATTTCCGTTGAACATGCTTCGACCAACCTGGTTCGACCAACGTCATGATCTGGAAGGCTTAAGCCGCTCACCATGGGCGGCTCACAGGATTTGGCGGATGGATGGCATTCGATGTCCTTGGATTTGGTGCGGCTTCTGTGCCGTCCGGGGGGCCAATGTGGCGTAGGCTTCCGTGCATGCCGATGGAAATAAACAAATGAATTATCAATGCACAACGGCATATGGAGAGTGATCTCCTCTAGGAGCTATACGGCTGTACGATTCTTTTGGACTTCTTGGCATCCTACGAAGCTGAGTTACCTGGTTGTTCCAATGATACTATAGACATCTCTCAAGGTCCAGGCTTTGTTGATGACCCCCTTCTCCACGTCCTCCGGAAGACGAGACCGAGACCGCCAGCGACCGAAAAGCGCCATTGCTGAGAGGAACCGACTCAGGAGACTTCTGCAATGGTCGGTCGTAACTTGAGTGCTTTCACTTGTTGGGGGGACTCATACTGCTTGTTGAGATGCCTGGAGGCGCTTCAAAGCTGAAAAAAAAACCTGGAGACCTGGTCATTGACATTCTGCAAAGGTCATACATGGTTTTTGGAATGGCTTTTCTTACTTGTAGACCTGTTCCACCAGGTCGGGCGTGATCCGGGGCGAGACCATCGTCCTTGCGCTTCCGCCGAACCCAGCTGAGCGGATCAAGGTCCGGTCTGGGGTGCCCGGAAGGACACCAGTCGCAAGTCTCACCCGGCAGATCTTGGTTTGATGACCCCTCACAGCGTTCCAGTTGAGTGGATCTGCACCAAGAATGGCAACGTGTGGATGGCCCGCGAACTTCCAAACTCAAAACTCCATGGCCCGGATGGAAGAATCACCTTTCCAGGAAGTGAACGGCCATGGACTGGTTTGCAAAAGAATCACCTTGAAATCCAGAGTCGGGGACGAGGCCGGACCGAAATCCGCAACATTTCACACCCATTCACACCCCAAATACCAAGAACCTTCCTGGACTCGTCCTTTCAATATCAATCAGGAGCAACCTTCCTCTCGCCCCTTGCCCACCAGCCTTGATGAACAAGTAAAGTTCCAACTTTAAAGGGATCTCCAAGTGCAAGCCTCGTGTCGGTCACATGATGCGTTTCACGTGTGTGTCGTTGTTCTATGTTTCACAGGCGTTTGTCCTTGTTGGGGTCTCCCTTTTTGTTTAGATATTAGTATATACATCCCTAGGGCTCCAAGTACCTCCTCAGAAGATATTTGGACCCTCTAAACCCACCCCAAACACCTTCTGCGAAGGTACTTGGAGCCCTAGGGCATATGTATATATACACAGCACATACACACAACACATCCACAGAGTTCAAACTCACGAGTCAACCGTACTATTACCACCGTATCCACCGTTAAGATTTTAGGACCTGGAAACAGCTCGAAACTGGTTGCTTTTCACCAGGAGTCCAACAAAAATACATCTGACCAAAGTCCATATATATCCATATTTTACTTGAGTCATCCTGAGTCCTTGCAAGGCTTAAGGAAACAAATGACTGGTTCCCAAACTAGGTATAT